ATATATATAACAATAACTATGATGAAGAAGATGATGACTGGACTGATTAATTTATGGATTGGTTAATCAATCAACCGCTCAATTATGGTTCCAGTTGACGGCAACTGGGGCCAGTGGACTAGTTATGGCTCGTGCTCAGTATCCTGTGGCGCCGTTGGTACCAAGGTGAGGACTAGGGCCTGTGATGACCCCGCCCCCCAGAACAACGGAGAGGATTGTCAGGGCTCTGGCAGTCAGTCACAGAGTTGTGACATGACAGGAACGCCCTGCCCGGGTATGTGAACCCCCCTCCCCCTCCCCCAACCGACTTTTTCTATACACATACACACAAGGGAACACACACACACACGCGCGCGCGCGCGGAGCGCACACACACGCGCGCGCGCGCGGAGCGCACACACACGCGCAAATACACACACATGCACACACGCACATATTATACTATATATCAATTGTACATGTAAAATTCTATAAAGGTTTGTAGATTTCCTCCTTTGACCGCCCAGACACCTCCACGCGAGTCTCGAAAAGAGATAAGATAAGATAAGATAGTACTTTATTATCCAAGAGGGAAATTTTCCTTGGCTGTACAGGACCGTAAAAACACATGCAGGTATACATTTTTTTAAATGTCTTTCCCTTGAGGTTAAGCGTCACAGGGTGGGCACACACAGCCCGTTCTTTTACATGGGTGACATCACTGCCACGACCGCCAGTACGAAATAAAATCTCTTTAAATGAACATAATAATCTTTTATAGTTCTGTTAGAAATTGGAGGCGCAATGTATCCTCAATATTGTTTTTATCCCGTCAAATCAATATCACCCAAACTTTGCACAGCGGTATGCATGTATCAGTTTATCTTAACTGTATCATATTTTTTTCACAACAATTGAAACTTTTCTTCATAAATTTATATAAATTACTATAGATCTCGGTCACGGATAATGGAATTGTTCACAGCACTTCCCGCTTCTCACACACGTTTTGCGTGCGCATATATGACCAACGTCACAGGTCACCAATGACATTGTTTAGTGCCTAGTTACCTCGTACAAGAAATTAAATTGATGCTGAACACTTTTTTGCACTAGAGGCTCTCAAAATATGTGTTCAATAAACATGATCTCGATGACGGGCTTGCTTTTAAAAGCGGTATTATCCTAGCTGTAAACATTTTCAAATCTGTAGAGACCACTCACAGGGATTTTTAATTAGTATTCCTTGACGGATTTTCTAGAATAGTGCGAACAGGTGTTTACAAAAATAGTGATCTGTTAGGACATATTGATTCAAGTCACTGTGCAAAAGCTGGAGAGTTTATATTTAATATTTGAGGAGATATTTGGCTATAATATGTTGGTCTTTCAATAATGCTCGAAGACGCATTGTTTTGGGGCACTTCAAGAAGAAACATAATACATTCGTTATTCAAACAGAGTTTTAAATTCGATTTTCTTTATCTTAAACGCAGAATCTTTGACTGCGCTTGAAGTTTCCCGCTCTATTATTGTCCTCCAGTGAACGGTGGGTGGACCAACTGGTCTGGCTGGACTTCCTGCTCGGTGACCTGCGGGACTGGAGATCAGTTCAACTACCGATCGTGCACCAACCCGGCCCCTGCTCACGGGGGTAGCGACTGCTCTGGCGTGGACACTCAGACAAGATCATGTGACACAGGTGTCTCTTGCGCTGGTGAGTGCTTGGAAAGGGTGACATGGCATAGGTTTAACGCCCCCTCCTATCAACGCTATTACGGCATCGAGTTTAATAATAGCAATAACAATAATAATAGTAATAATTACAGTAACGATAATAATATTAATAACAATAATAACAGTGATAGTAATATATTATTATCATTATTATATTTATATTACAATTGAAGGTGCTTTCCCCCTTTTATTCCCTTAGTTCACGGCGCCTGGGGTACCTGGGGTGCGTGGAGCGCCTGCTCATTGTCGTGTGGAGGAATCGGTACCGTGGAGAGAACCAGAGTCTGTGACAGGTGAACATTTTCCCTTAACTTTGAGTTTAGCGCCGCTTTCTGCTGAGGGGGCTCTCGTGGTCAAGCGGTTAAGGTGTTCGCCTCTCATTCAATAGGTCCCACGTTCGAATCCAGATAGCGGGAGAAAATGTTTTTCTCATAAATGTTCTACTTTCACATCCTCTTCTGCTCTGTATCAATGATCTGTCGACTGTATTCATCTCCACTTTCTGCCTCTACCCTCCCCCCCCCACCCCATACGTCCTTTACCCCCTCCTCTGGGCTCCTGGCTCTGTCTGCAGCCTCTAATCTGTAACAAAGAAAGATACAGAAGGTCATTTTTACCATCATCTATCAAAATGCTTCCATCTTAACCATCTTGTTTAGTGTACTTACGACCTTAGAGCATGCATCAAAATAACATTGAGTGTGTATCTAGCTTACGATTATTATTGTTTATATTGCTGCTCATTTACATTATGCATGTGATTGTAAACCTACTTGTGTGTGCATGTGTGTGCACGTGAGTACGTGTGTGTGTGTGTGTGTGTGTGTGTGTGTGTGTGTGTGTGTGTGTGTGTGTACTCGTGGTGGAACACCAAACCAATGTGCTAGGATCTGGACAATAAAGATGTATCTTATCTTATCTTATACTGCTACTCCTTGGCTCCTACTTACTGCTGTCTTTCAGCTACACCCCTGATCTTCTGGTAGGTAAGATCTAACATCTTGCCTTCTCGGATTAGGGCGAATAATCTCGCAGATCACCTGTGCGAGTTACGAACGTTACAGATCCCTTAGTGATCCAAAATCAATAAGAGTAGGCTTCGGCCGCCACCTGTGCCAAATCCAAAAATGTTGCTACCATCTGGAAATGTTTAATGGTCCCGCGCGCTCATAATCATAACCTTATGCAGTTGGGAGCGCTGTAAAACACTTACCAAAAACCCCCACAAAAAAAACAACAACTTTTCAGCTGTACCTCTGATAGGTTTGTTAAGAGTAAGACGTGTTGGGGTCGAGGTAGGATCACTAACAAAATCCTCTCATGAATGGAAGGGAACACAGGTAATTTAGACAAAGGTTCGAAATTTAGACTTTTGAACACCGGCATTATGATTTTCAAGCTAAAACATTAACGCACATAATGACACACACACATACACACACACGCACACACACACATACACACACACATACACACACATACAAACACAAACATATACACCACATAAACACAGAAAGACAGAAAAAGACATACACACGTATGCAGACAAACACATACAAACACGTGTCAGGCAGATAGTATTTCATAATACAGACTTTTCTTCCCTAGTTTTATTATTTCTGTGTGTGTGTGTGTGTGTGTGTGTGTGTGTGTGTGTGTATGTGTGTGTGCGTGTGTGTGCGTATGTGTTTGTGTATGAGAGAGAGAGAGAGAGAGAGAGAGAGAGAGAGAGAGAGAGAGAGAGAGAGATAGTTTGTGTGTATGTATGTGTGTGTTCGTACTTGTATGTGTATGTGTGTGTATTTTGATTCCAGAAAAGAGCGAGATTCTTAAAGCCCAAGCGACTACTACATAATAATCATTTTGTTAACTCATATTCCAGACCCGCTCCTCTGCATGGTGGTAACTACTGCCCAGGTAGTGATACCAGCACGGATACATGTGACATGTCTTACCAGCTATGCCCCAGTAAGTTGGATCCTGTGTTCTTTCTGATTGAATAATACCTGACAGCACGATGGGAAAATAGCATAAATACATTTTCGTACACCCAGTTTTTCTCCCTCCTCCTCCTCCTCCTCCTCCTCCTCCTCTTTTTCTTCTTCTTCTTCTTCTTCTTCTTCTTCTTCTTCTTCTTCTTCTTCTTCTTGCTTGGAGCATCCAGTGAAACTCGCCTGATTCCCGAGAGGACAGTTCCAGCGTCTGGTCAGATCACAGAGTACATTTAGCATTACTGCTAACACTATCTCTTACGAATCCGAATAGATTTATTTTAACTCAGAAGTGTTAGTTGGATGTATAAAGTACACCCTCTTTCACTTTGATTACCAGGGTTTTTTTAACATTTACTAGTGTCTCCCATTACGTGTTTCATTTGACCTAGATCTAGTAAAAATTCAGTAAAATTTCAGTAAAAACGTAAAAACCAATTCCGGGGTTAAGTGACAGAATAGAAGCCTACAGAAAAAGCGTCCCAAAACCACAAGAGGACTGTATTTCAAATTCAGGTTATGTTAAGTTTTTTCAGGGCGTGTATTTACACCTCCACCAGCATAATTTAGATCATTTTGGGAGGTAGACTTCGACCCTGCCTGACTAGGTCTATCCGAACAGAGAGGGTTAAGACATCCAAGCAGATAGAAGAAGATGCTCGATTTAACTCTATATTATATAATCGATTTTCAGAATAACTAAATATGAGTGAACTGCTAGCCAATACGTTGTTATGTACATTTAGTGAGCAGACGTGTAGACGTGGTCAGTTACGTTTTGCCTCTTTCAATAGGCCCGTGAAAGACACTTTCTGCTCTGAAACTCACAAGACTGGGCGGTGCTTAATCTTCCAAAAAGGTGTTTAATTTGGAACAGAAATGTTGTGCGTTTGATTCCTCGTTTCCATGAAAGGGGCATAATTATGACATAAGGAAATACACTGGGATCCAACTTTTCCCTATTAATCTACCATCAAACAGATGCGTGGCATTACATGGAAACGAGCAGATGCAGAGCATTTTTACCCCCCCCCCCCACCCCCCACCCCCTCCAAAAAAACAACAACAACAAAACAACAACAACAACAAACAAACAAACAAAACATAAGAAAAAAAACAAACAAACAGCAACAACAAAACCAATAAAAACATTTTGCCTACGTTGTCAGGGCTGCAGGGATTAACAGAAAACAGGAGACAAGTAAGATACTCAGGGGGGCACAATATGACAATGTGAACATATCACGCTGGCTGTCTTTGTGAGTGTCATCTTTCAATGGTTTTTTAAAATTTATTGTGGTCGGAATGTGGAAGTGTGGAAGAAGAGGATGTGGCCAGGGCAGAGGGAGCTATATTTTGTTTTATTTGTTTACTTTTTGGTGCGCTTTGTAAACACATTTGGCTTGGGCAAAAAATAACTCTGTAGTACAGACTTTAACATAGTATTAGTGTAGGCTCGACTATGAAGAGTGATGTACAGTTATATAATAATATGCTAGTTATATTGTGCAAGTCTCTTACTTAATAGAATTTTCATTACAATTGTTATTAAATGCTCACATGCTCTATACTTCCATCCCCAGATGGTAACCCATGGCAACCGTTGTTTTTCTCCCCTCCTACTGTGGCACCAGGTATGATTATTACAAAGAAAACAAACACTGTCGCGCCCCCCCCCCTTTCCCCCACGCCACACACACCTCTAACTTCTGCCCTGTTCCCCATCATCTTCTTACTTTTGTTTTCTTCACACTAACAACTTGAAAATACTGCTCGCTTCCGCTCCCCTTTTTGTCTCCATTTCACCTGAAAAGTCGGGAAACATCAATGTTACATTTAAGCAAGGCAAAAACAAATAAAACACGTCAAATAGAAACCAGTAAACACATTACATTATCATATCACTCTTGCTTGAGTGTCTCATACATCGTCAATTCTTTGCAAGCCACTCCATATGACCTTATTATGCTGTTGCGAGCGATGTAAAACTCTTACCAAACTAAATATTTATCGCATTAACTCATCATTATCGCACCATCATCTCATCTACAATGTTCTTGGCAAACGTCAGGATTTGAACTAATTTTAGTCCCTTTTGATCCTCAAGCCTGTAAATTCATTATAGTTTCATTATCCTTTGATCCTTCCTTCTTTCGAACAACATCCTCAATTCAACCTCGGTCTGCACTCTCGACACTCATACCGCTTCAACGTATATTGACATTACATCATGTCTTATCATCGTCTCTTTTTTAATGTGTATCACATACATAATATTATTCCATCTTTATTGAAAATACTGTTTTCATCCAAATTGGTCCTAAGCTCATTTTACTATTATCTTCCGTAGTATCTTCATCTAAATTCATCGCAAATTATCTCTTTCTCATTTTTGTGTCAAATAAGTCGTCTCATCTTCCCTTCATCTTCCTCTCATATGATATGTTCCATCTTTGACCTCTCCCCCTCTCCCCTAAGAAAGAAGAAAATATTTAAAACCTTTTTGTGTTTTCTTCCTCGTATCTGTATTTAAATACATCGCATTTTATTGCATGTTATCTCATTTTTGTGTCAATATGTCGTCTCATCTTTGTTTCGTCTTCCATCTCATATAGATTTAATATATTACACCTTTGACCGGTCCAACCCCCCCCCCCCCCCCCCCCCCCCCCAACTCCCTCCAAAGAGACGAACAAATTTTGTGTATAAGCGCTCCCGAGATTTTTTTTTTTTTAAAATCACCTCAGGTTTTTGGGTGGAATATAAATTCCCCTTTTTTCCCCCCCATTCCCCTCCCGGCCATCTAAAAGTAATACATTCCATCTTTGATCACCCTACCCTCTCCCACCCCCCCCCCCCCCCCCAAAACCCGCCGATCAAACCACCTAAATAAACTATCAATTCGAAACAGTTGACGGTGGAGTGAGTCCCTGGGGCGCCTGGCAGAAGTGTACAGTGACGTGTGGGGGCGGGACCACAATGAGGCAGAGATTCTGCAACAACCCAGTGCCCATGGGACAGGGGGCTCAGTGTTCCGAGCCACTCATTGAGGAGCAGATGTGCAACAAACAAGCCTGTTCTGCTAATGGGTACGCCCACGGAAGTAGTAGTAGTAGTAGTAGTAGTAGTAGTAGTAGTAGTAGTAGTAGTAGTAGTAGTAGTAGTAGTAGTAGTAGTAGTAGTAGTAATAGTAGTAGTAGTAGTAGTAGTAGTAGTAGTAGTAGTAGTAGCAGCAGCAGCAGCAGTAGTAGTAGTAGTAGTAGTAGTAGTAGTAGTAGTAGTAGTAGTGGTGGTGGTGGTAGTGGTGAAGGTTAGAATAGAAGAAGAAGAAGAAGAAGAAGAAGAAGAAGAAGAAGAAGAAGAAGAAGAAGAAGAAGAAGAAGAAGAAGAAGAAGAAGAAGAAGAAGAAGATTTATAATAATAGTAATTCTAATAAATAACAATAATAATAATAATTATTATTATTATTATTATTATTATTATTATTATTATTATTATTATTATTATAATAATAATAATAATAATAATGATAATAATAGTAATAATAAAATAATGTTTACGCCTCTTTATACTTATCATACAAGAACGGCACATGCGATGATCAAAGAGGCCTCTTCGACTGCAAGAACGGCATCCAATGTATTGACATCAAGCTGAAGTGCGACTGTGTGCCTCACTGCTTGGACTTCAGTGACGAAGAGATGGCATATGCTGGCTGTGTCATGGACCTCCTAGACTGCTTTAGTGGAGCTGGTGAGTTGATGAGAGAAGAAATCGACGATAAGCCGTTCAAGTGTACGGGAATAAGCTCAAAAAGCACAATTCTATCGCGAGAGAGAAAACCCTGTTTCTTTCTTTCAACAGTTGCACCTACATTATGTTTCTTTTCTCGCTTTTTTAAAACAATAATATGATGATTAGAGTTTGTATTTCGACAAAATATTTCTCTACCTTATGCAACCAATGTCACAAATTAAAAGATTTTCAAAATAATTTTGGGCTTTGCACATAATATGAACAGCTGGCCGACGTAATGTAATGAAAAAAGTGGGTGTTATCACGAACTAGAAATTGTAAGATTCTCAATTGTAACTTCATTTTCTTTGACTGTTGGTCTATTGTTATCTTTAGTGGAATGGGAAGTCAAACATCAAATCAACGAACACTTTAACAATAATGTAAATAATAATGAGTCTACAAGCTCTTGATATGATACTCACAGATTTCCGTTTGTGGTATCACTCGTTTTTCCTTTGAGCGTTTTAACGTTTTGTTTGTTTGGGTATAGAGAAGCATATGGAAATGATAGGTCATTTTATGTGCTTGGAAAAAGTAAGAGATACTTACAGAAACAATACGCCTTAGAAAATGAATAAATAGGTCTTACACCGACCATTATCTTTACATCAATATCAAGTTTGAAGAAAGAACTTTTGTTTGTTTCTTTTGGGGGGTTTTTTGGTAAGTGTTTTACGGCACTCTCAACTGCATAAGGTCATATGAGCGCGTGGGGCACGCCAAACATTTTCAGTTGGTAGGTCCCCCCCCCCTCCTGCCCTCTAGCAGTAATGGGTACCTGACTTCGAGTGGTGGAAGTAAAGGCGGCATGGAAAAAACTGGCCACCCTACCACAATATGTCGAAGGCCCAGGTAGTTGTCTCACTAACAAGGCTATCCCCAATGTCCGGATCAATGAGGGAACAACTTTACTTTTTAGGAAATTTTGAACTTTGCCTGGGTGGCGGCTGAAGCCTACTCTTGTCGATTTTGGACCACAAAGGGACCTTTAACGTGCGCATCTTGCACACGGGACTTCCTAGATGCTTCACCCTTGTCTCAGAAGGCTAGATGTAGATTGTTCCTACCATACGATTCATCTAAAAATACAGAATTAAATACGTAAATTATTAGTTGTAAAATATGTGCACAATAACTGTTAGGGAGCACGTAGTCGTAGGCCGGTTAAAAATTCATAGACAAATAATGTATTCTAGCTCTGTACGGGTTTTTAACCACCGATTATGTCATTAAATCAGTCAATCAATCAATTAAGCTATTAAGTTGAACAGTCGATCTCGTTGTTACCTAGTCTGTCTTTCAATTAAGCAATCACTCATCTGTCAGATGACAAATCAACCATTATATTTATTATTCTTCCACCTTTAATCTTTGGGCGTTTGAATAAACCTTACCATTCAATACTTGCTCATTGGATCTCAGTCATTGTTATTGATTACACTCTTCGTCTTATTTCTTTTTATCTCAGGTTTCAAAGATCTCAAGGTCTCACTCGGTGTGGCTGCTCTTGTAGCATCACTGACAGTCTTCCGAATGATCTATGGTTAACTCACAGGAAGTATTTCTCGAAGACTGAATAATAAGCAAAGAGTGGGCCAACTGCCTACCACCAAATCTCCACAAAGACCAAAGAAGTACAAAGGTTTATTTTTTTGAACATTTTATGAAGGGGTGCGCGAAGAATGTTTTTGAATAATGTGATTTCGTTCCATTTTGCGTGATAGATCTGTTTCAAACGCCCTGTGTGTTGTGCAGCATTTTTCTTGTCTGGGAGTATAAACCTCTCAAATACATCTGCGATCGCGTAACGTTGATGACAAGAAACCGTAAGGTGCCGCAGGGCTTTGTGGCGTCTTTTGACGTTGCTAATAAAAATCAGAAAGAAGCCTCTTATTTGACCTGTGCTTCTACTGCAGCTCATGGGTGTAACTACTTCTGGAATAATGAATAAACAGTAGTGCTATGTTTAAAGTAAAGTTTGGACTCAACATATTTTATTTCATGTTCATCTTTTAGTTCATTCCGTGCTTTTCTACCAGCGTCTGTGGTGCAATGGTAAGGCTTTTGACCATAGTATGCAGAAGATGCGAGTTCGATTCCTAAGATGGGAAGTAATTCTGTCAAGTATCTCTCATCTCTCTACTGGGATACAGCATCCAATATAGCTGAGGTGGGCCCTGACATGCCGAGTCGCGGAATCAGCCTCTTACATTATCTAGATTGTACCGAGGAGGGCTTAGAAACATTAATGAGAATATTACGCATTTGTTGCTTGTAGTTTTGCTTTTCTCTGTGCCAACAGTCACAGCAACATCAGCATTAGCTACAACAGCTACAGCTGTTGAAATGGCAAGAGTCTCAGGTATTGGCTCAGATGCCGCATTACCTTCCTCGCAGTCGCAAAGTAAACGCGTAATTATTTACTATATTTCGGTGTTCCCTGTTTCAATGTAACAAGCAAGGATTAAAAATCATCTCAAACAATGTTTCTTCTTTCAATAATTATTTGCCTCTCCACTTGGGTGATCCACTGGTCGAGTGGGTAGGGAGTTCAGGCTCAATTTGATGTCAAAGGATTGGTCGCTCCACATTTATTAAGCCACTGGGGCAAAGATTCTTTGCCGAGGTATGTCTTTGAGCAACATAGAACGCTACACAGTGGCGACCAGCAATGGTGTGTTTGTAAATTTGTCGGTATTGGTGCGGTATTGTACATTAAATGACATTGATAAAACATCTCTTGTACATATTGTTATACCTCTGTGTTTAGTTATGTGTGTAATTGGTATTCATGCATATTTCTATGTATGTTATGCTTGCCAAAATTTCCCCCACGAGGATCAATAAAGTGGGATTTTGTTGGTTTATATTTTTACGTTAGGCTCACGAAAACCTGACATCAGCAGCTGATAAAGAATTAGGCTTGTTTGTCTGTGATGTTTTCAGCAATTCCTAAACATTTTAGCTTCGGGAATCTGAAACAGAGAAGTGAAACACTTGTTCAGTCAAATTCACGCTACCACGCCTATTTATATTATGCTAATAAAGACTGTTAGCATTGCATTCACACGCTGGTATCATTCAAGACCCAAAAATCTTTCTGACCAAAACTTAAAGCTGCTTGCATTTGATACTTGATCATTTTGTGTCAAGCCATGAGCGACTGGGACGTGCTTAGGATTGTAAGATACGTTGTTGCTGTTTCTTAAAAATTTATTTCTCTTGAAAATTTGAGTTCAGAAGGAAGTTTTCTGTGACAGGGTCTTCGTTTAGAAACAATCCAAACATATTATGTGCTTCAATCAGTATAAATTTTCACGGTCCATAATAATCTACGCTGGGGACAGGATACAAAGAAGCCGTGCCACGGATACTTTTTAGTTTAAGGCGTACTTTTTAATGACGTACGCATGATTTAAAATTCTATAAAGTTTGATTAGACTCTGTTTAATCTGACATTTGCTTACTCCAGCAATGATCCCATTCAGGCACTCAGGAGTCATTAAAATGGTGTCCCAACAATTTGAAAAAACCGACTTGTTCATCTTAGTTTGTATGCACACTGATAAAAATAGTTATGCAAAAAGTTATAGTTTAACTTCTTGAAGGTTTGAATGATCAAGCAAGTGACGTACAATATCAGAGCGGGCAATGTGAGGTCTACACATACATACGATGGATGTACGGAAAGCACGCAATTCAACTTTCAGCATGACTCTGGATCGAAGCCCTCTAAATGTGCATTCTTTAACTTTTACGGTTTGTGGAATTTCCACAACATTCCTTCGCTTACCTAGGTCCTGTTGGAGATCGACGTTAAATCAAACAGTTTACAGATGTTAAACTATATGAACATGTATTTGAGTGCCTGTGGAGAAATGTGGTCAAATGATATTTTTCCAAATGCCGGTTTTAAGATTTGAAATAAGACTGTCAATCTTTTGATGTAAAATAACAAAATAGATCAAGAGTGCGTCAGAAACGAGAATGATTCTTTCATTAAAAATGGCTGTAAGTAAGAGTTCTAGACGTTCACCTCTCAATTTAACAGTCTAAATTGTTTTTGACTTTCAGCTTAGCTCCTCACAACGCACTGACAATTATATTTGACTTCTTGGTCTTTATAACCAACGCTGCTCTCAACCAGTTCCTTTTCATTTAATGTTACGGTGCTGGTTACGTTTGATACATCAGTGAAAACGAAGTAATTCGATTGGATGGCCAAGCTCTTCGGAGACTTAATTACCAGTGCTAAAGCAAGACTCTCGTTAATGGTTATGTCGAATCATCGAATAAATATCATATTCGTATCATATCACCAGTCATGCCACATCTAGCACACGCACACCCACAGACCCCCGCCCCACACACCCCACCCCTGCACACACACATAAACACACACACACACACTCACACTCACACACATGCACATACACATACGCATACACATGCATTTATTCTCTGTATGATGATGATGATGATGATGATGATGATGATGATGATGATGATGATGATGATGGGCCTCACGGACTTCACGAAGAAATCTTCGAGCGAGAGCGAGGCTCTTTTTCGGCACCATTGTCAATATGCTTAGCGGCACCTCCACTCGTCCAAATAACTCCATTCGAATAGCCATTGTTCCTGGACATTCAAACATATGTTTGATATCCTCCTTTTCATGGCCGCATCTTCGGCAACATGGGCTGAGCTCTTCATTTACAAAGTTCTTATACCATCTTAAACTCCAATGATGGTCCGACCGCAGTCTCACTAGCTCAACCTGGTCCCAGCGACATGTGATAGATTTTTGTTCCCGCTTATAGGAGTACCCAGAATACACATCTTCCAGGTGCTGGTACTTACTCCTACATGGTGGGTCTCTGATTTCTCTCTTGATTGTTGGAAAGACTCCTCTGTATGTCGTTGGTCGTCTGTCCCCTTCGATCTCTATGGCTTCATTAGCAGCTTGGTCTGCTGCCTCATTTCCTTCTATTCCAGCATGGCTTGGAATCCACTGAATTTTTTGTGTGGCTCTGGCTTCACTGAACTTGCTGCACAAATCATTCATGTCCGAGCTGTTGCCCAGCATCCACTTGCAGAGGGACTGACTGTCATTCAAGATCAGCACATAGGTCCTACTGTTGCAATTGTCGGTAATCCATTGTGCAGCAGACATCATTGCCTGGCATACCTCGTCATAAGATTGATGTTTAGGAATGCACCTTTAGTTTTAATAATTTCTGTTCGTGGTGATTCAGCATTTATTATCACTACTGCCGCTGCTCCACTTTCGTGGTATCCTGCGACTGCCGATCCATCGGTAAAAATTGTCACATCCGCACCAACCTCTTTGATCACATACTCAGCTGCTTCACGTGCCTTTACAGGATCATCACCTTTTCCTTTTACTCCTCTCAGTTCTATCCGAATTTCGATTTCGCCATGGGTCTCCCATGGACAAGCTCTCACCAGATTGATCGGCCATCGATTCTCTGCTTCAGGGGGGAGGTGGTCTGCTAGGTCGGTGCCCATACGAAACTAACTTTTCCTGCAGTTTTTAGGCTTGACTGCTTGACCAAGGGCTTTCTGTCTTGGATGGTTGTCTGGTAATCTCTTAGCCATCTCTATAGACTTGAGGCATGTTCTTTTTGTATAGGTGGTGTAGTGCTCAGTTCTGGTCTCATAGCGCAGCGCTTCTGTTGGTGTTGTTTTCAGCTGACCTTATACAAGTCGGAGGGTTTTGTTTTGTATTCTGTCCAGGGCCTTTGCACTAGTCTCACTCAGCCAAGGCTGCCACGCTGGTGCAGCATAATCCAACTTGCTTTTCACAAACATCTGATATATTTTCTTGAGCGACTCCTTACCCCAGCCCCATTTTGAGTTGCTGACAGCACCGAAACCTTCATTTTAGAGGTTGCACGTTTGGACACCTCCTGATGATGATGATGATGGTGGTGGTGGTGGTGGTGGTGGTGGTGAAATCCTGAATTCTGAGAGAGAATTATTAAATAAGATTTTTATACTATACTTGGAGCTGTTTTAACATTGCACTTCCAGAAATATAAATCATTATTTATTTCACACGTGAAATATTATAAGCTGATATCTCGCACGTGAAATATTAATAAAAATTCCATAAATTACTCCACGCACTACATTTGCCTTCTAAAATTCTGTAAATAAAATACTTGAATAGTAATATTCCTAAACCGTGCAATGTTATAGTAGCCGTTCTTCGTCACCTGTAACAACTTAGCTGCAAAGCGCGCCCACCATATGCGCCCAAATGAAATGACAATGCCAAACACCAGTCTCCCAGTGTGCCTATGGTCAAAGAGTCTACATAACAAGAGGGGCCACTTCTCTCTTTGAGCCAATTTAAAAAGTGTCCTCAAAATTCGGTGGCGCCTTCTTCGCAAAAGCGCACCTTTTGCGAACAGAGTTATCCTACTTGAGTATAAAAAAATCAAAGTGAAACTAGCAAGTTTTTGAATGAATTTCGGCGATCGGAAGAACGCTTTTTTAAAATGGTTACGCTGACAAAAAACCTCTTCCGGAGGAAAGGGTGATTGTTTTCTT